GCCTATCCTCCACGCAAACCCTAGGCCTAGAAATCCGTCAGTGCATTTCTGAATATTCCGCACAGATTTTGCGCAAGTTTGAGCTAGTTTTTGAGATATCATCCACGCAATTAAAATACTTCAGAGTAAATAAAACCGCCACACAATAGCGTAACGTCATTTCTGGATTTAATCTTCTGGAAAGTCATTGTATCCTACGTAACATGCAATGGACGATTTGGATGGGGAAATAAATGCACGATGGAACAAAATTTCAACGGTAAGCGATGGCACAGGTACGAAAACAACCAATCAAAGGACTGGAATCTATTTAGATGTGTTATAATACTGTATATAAAATTAAATTAGCATGAGCAGGCAAGGAATGGAGAACCTACGTAGAACGTAACAGAATTACTTTAATTCACAGAAAAAAATACAAAGCAAATGATATAGCCGAAGGTATTGACAGTGGACGGCTACGGATATAGTAACTACAGGCATTCAGATGAATTCTCTGAATTTAGGCATTTAGCCAAATATTAATCTCTCGATGATTCCTCTTGATCTTATTGTTTAATAATAGTGTACCGTAAAATTATATCATCTAGGAATCAGTATGTAAGGCTACTGTATTATGCATAATAAAGACTTTGCAATCACTATGGACAACAGAATACAAGAACAGTCATAGGAAATCGTACTTTCATCGCTAACATTAATCAGTAAATATCAAACATCTAAACATTACGTCTCAGCTTAGCTCATCAAATATGTACTGAATACTGTAATTTCAAGCTACAGTACAAGATATGACATCATCAACACGACAAAATTTAGAATTGTGGGTAATTCAGCAAGTATACATCTTTGTTTTGATCGGTTCGTCATAATGATAACAAGGTCACATTGCTGTTATCACCATTTCAAGAAATAAACAGCATTTTTTGGCTGTGAATTGCTATGACATGTTCTTTCACCTGACTGGGAATAATCAATTTACAATTTAATATTTTTTTTTAGATAAAATTAGGAGACAATTACTGTACCTAAAATTATTTGTTCAACTTTTACATTTATGCAATAACTGTTTATAAAATAATAATAATAAATGATAGAAATTGGAGTATCATGGCAACAATAAAACATGGATGAACAAATAATTAAAAACATTTTTATCAATACTAAACATTAAAGTACATTAAACTTCAGGAAACATACTAATTATAAATAAATGAAAAGTTCAACAGTTCTGTATTCAGATATTAATGTTGATAAACAAAACATACTGTAATTCAATCGGTTTCTGGCAACCCAGACAGACTCAAAGGAGTTGATACATTTTAACTGGCTTTCATCTCCTAATTATTATGGTCCAGGTGCCAAGCGCACTATTCAGGGAGTGTTGATGGCAAAGCTAGTGGATGATGGGAGGTTCTAAGTTTTAACAGAATTAAAGCATCAGCTACCTCAGTTAAATAATACTGGTGCTTAACGATTATAGACCAAATTTTAAAAAATGTTTATCTTGCCCAAGCCAAGCATCTTCATCTCTAGTTTTTGTGGTGTAAATTCTACTCTACAGTAGGTCCTCTGAATCAAGAGACGTATATTGTATTTTGTTTACTATTAAAGTTTAATTTGCGATGTTGTTAAAAACATCTGATTTATTTTATGATATAATTATAACCAGGAAGTTACTGTACAAACAAGACCGCTACCTCGTTCGTTGCGTGCGAGGAACGGGAACCGAATCTCAAGTTTGCATACAAGTCCCCAAAGGCCACGTGCATGCACTGAGTAGTGGGCGACTTAAACCGTCCATTTTCAAATGACTACAATTAATAAGCATATTATTATTATTATAAGAAATTTTCAACAGTTTTTCGCCGAGGTATGGAAGAATGCATGAATCCACGTAAATAGCTTTAGTTTAATGCAAAATTTGATAGATTTTCATTATAGACAACGTTTAAAATATTTGTTTTAGTTCCCTGGGATTCAATATTTCGACATTAATTATGTCATCATCAGGAATGCAAATTTTTTCTTCGCCACTGGCGAATGACTAGCGTAAGCATAGCTAATAATATTAATAATAAATAATGATTTTCAAAAACAAAATAATTAACTTAATAATCAATTGCATAAATATAGTGCACTGCACATTTTATACTTTATTATAAAATTTTTTCTTTTTTGTATTAACCAGGAGAATAAAAACGCTGTTGATTTTGGAATCCAGCAACGTGAGTCATCGTCTCTCTCTATATTTATAATGATATGCTAAAATTAATAATTAACATAATTATATCACAACCGATGATTCAATTATGCATCTATTCAGACGCTAGGACTGGAAAAAGTGCACGAACGGCGGTCGGAGGCACTCGGTCTACTTGGACACTCTTTTTAAGAGCCGGAGCATTAAACAAAGCACTTTTTAGAATCTTTAAAATTTATTACTTTATCGTCTTAGCAAATCAATATATTTAAATAAAGCCCTGGTAGATTTTACTCTTATCATTTCTTGATGATAGACAAAAAAAAATATAGAAAAGCACTTATCTGGATGGGACACCAGAATGCCCAGGTGATAATCGTGACCCTAGTTTTATAACCAAAAAAAACATGTAGTCATCCAAGGGTCAAGCAAGGGTCAGGTTGTATCAGGAAGCATTTATTGAGACCTGATCTTGAAATGGAATTAAAAAGATATTATGTGGTGAAATTAAGATTTACTAAAAATTCCATTATAAAAATGTGCTCATTAATAAGAGAATTACTGTAACTTCTAAATTTATAATGACGACCAACTTACAAAATTCAGTTGCGCCTTTGTCGCATCATTAAAAAAATTCCACCAAGAAAACTGAGTATTGATGTTATTGGTTTAAGGCACATCACCATAATTTATTTATGAAATCACTGAAAAAATTGGCCCTAATCAATGATATTAAACGAAACAGAATATGCTACTAGAACAATTACCTGAGGGTACTTTGTCTTATTAATTAACAGCAGACTAATTAATTGCAAATGGTTTAATCAAGTATTAAACTGCTAAGGAAATATTAGAAAGGAAGGTAGAATTGCTAAGGACACAGAATTCAAACTAATAATAATTGTATTGATTCCAAGATTTAGATATTTAATTTTTCTAATATTAATAAACAAAAAAAAAACAGTGCCTACTGTACAATTGTTTATTGTTATAATTTATGAAATTCTAATCTGCATAAATCACTAACTACAGTAGATGAAAATCTTTCAACTGGTATAATTTCAGTATAATTATTAGAACTGTATGTTCAATCTAAATATAGATCATTTTTTTCATACTGTATCAGATGACCCCTCATTTACCTTTAATAATTATCATTTCCTAGTTAAATAATTTTCATTCTGCTAGCAGTTAGCAAAATTTAATAACAAAATATAACTGACAACTTAAATGTACATTATTTTAATGAAAATTATTATAAAATGGGTCATTTGTCATTTTACATTTTATCACAACTAAACTACATAATGAGAATTTATGAGGATGAAATTAATACTGGATGAGTCATAATATCAAAATTTTATTTTTTTCCAATTTTTCACATGCTTTCTAATAATTCATCAACTGTAATTACAGTAAGGATGGAATTCCCAGTTGCCTGTCAGCATTTTTGTTTAACATTCATCCTCCATCAAAGTTTAAACATCCTGGAATAATTATTCTGTGAATGGCAGAATGTGTGTGAGTGTATATCCCAGTACTACTGACCAAGGTAAATGACTAAATACAATGTCAATGTAAAAATACCACAATCAATAATAATAATAATATGTTAAAAAGTTACAGTACATTAAATGACGAAATACTGGAAGTGCCATTTATAACATTTTGAAAAATTTGGGTTGCTTATTAAAACTTACAGAGCGTCACTTATGAATTACTGCCCAAAAAAATTCATGTTTAATGTTCCCCTTATAAGATCAGTACAGTACTCCAGTACCAAAGAGCTGAAAAGGTAGCCATCAACAGCTGGACAATTGTCAATATTATTAATTACGTGAGTATGGCATTCCTCTGAATAGAACAATACATGCATCATGCGTAACTGCTCATGGTAGACAATAGTCAATCATTATAACACCCATAAATAATGGCTAACTATACTGTAGGGTCAATCATTGGTACATGTATGTAACATCCATGGTTAGTCATGGGGTCAATCATTGTTAACATCCATCTAAAATATTAGTAGCCATAGGGTCAATCAATTGTTAACATCCTTACTGTATAATATGGAACCATTTGGGAATGAGATTGTGAAATACCATGGTGCCACGCCATCATTTTACAACTGTTACTATACTTTAACTATCAAATTTTATGGGGATCAAAAGGTTACAACAACTGATGGTTCATGTAGAACATAGAATAGAAATTTATGTTTGAAACATCACCGATGGCAACAACATCAGTGCCGAATGAGTTCATTTCAATGTCGGTAATTTTACTCTTGTATTGATCATATCATTCACCAATAAAAAATTGTGAAATAATTTCATAACCACCATTAAGACACAGAAAATTTCACCAAATGTAACAACATATAAGTTAACATTGTGTGTGTATATGGCCGGTGAAGATTACTAGATGTTACAAGATGGCATAATTTGGTTTTTCAGTTGGCGATTCATTCATAATTTACACCCCAACCATTCTATAATTTTACTATAAGAGACATAACGTCATGACCAATATTATTTTTTTTGCATTGAGTATAACTTAGAAAATATCAAGTTTAGAGAGTTGTGAGGAAATGCAATAAATGTACTTGTTTAATTGGCTCTACTAGTGCTAGCCTCATCACAGATCTTGTGCATGGTGGAGATTGGACCTTTTTGTAGGTTTAGTAAACCGTAGGCTTATTAAATTAAATTTGGTGCAAAAATTATTATACCTTGGTGTGTTGAGAATGCTCTCTGCTGGTAACATGAATATTCCAGAAAAAAACATTACTTACTTTATTTTGTTGAAGTCTTCGTCTAACCAACTTTGAGTTTCCAACATTCACAGCATTCAGAATATGACCCGTGTTATATTCCAAAAATGGTCGGCAATCGATCAACACAAACTTATCCAAATCCATGCTTATCAAGTTTGCAAGCTTCTCACAGGAGAATGATCTTGGTGGTATTGGTGGCGGTTTTTGCAGATCTGGACCCATGGTGGCGGGTTCTTGCATGGTGGCAGATGGGTAGTTTTCCATAATGGTTGCCCCTACAACCAGCTGCATCTAGCTTGTAATCTAACACCAATTTTTTTGAAATAAATCTCCACTCCTACCTTCTTAAAAGCTATTCCAATTCTAATACAGAAAAATTAAAATGTTCATTTTGATTTTCTTGGTAACAAATAATTGTTTTCCTCCTCAATGACTTGACAAAAATATCCAACTGTTGCAACGTAAAATAGGATAAAGTTTAGACAAGAATAATCTTTCTTTGTTAATGATCAATAATGTAAACAGATATGAAAGGAAGTGGGTCCTCTGGTATCTCAGTGAGTCAAAATAAACAGTAAATTATCAAACAAAATCGTAATGAGAGTCTGTTGCGCAGAATAGTTGGCATGTCAACGCACTAGATCAGATCTTAACAACCATGGCAAGCCGACTTCTAAATTTAGCCAGGGTACAATAAGATGATGAGGATGACTCAGGCCATATGCATGGAAATCGCTGTAAGGGTCTCCAGGTAGCTAAGCCTGGCTTGATGATATCACTTGTATCCTGGATAGGGCTGCATATATAGTTGACAAACCACGACTTGCAGAGTATGCATGCTATGCGACCAACATCACTAGTGGACACCTACAGTTGAATGGAATATACACATTTACAGTAGTATTTAGAATAGTAACATATAGAATTTTTGTACAATTTTAAGGGGATCTTTGCCCTTGTTTAGTTAGTCTTCACAATTGTTAATGGACATAATTACAGAGACTGTACAGTACATACCCAACAGTAATATTGCTATGTAATGATATCATTGTATAATGAAATGCTATCAATAGCTATTTGACGGTATGTGATCCTCACCTCAAAGCCTACTTATAATTATCCCACTGATCCGTTTTGAAATTGCTATGGATTTGCAGTATAATATAATTTATAATATCTTTGGAAATATTTCTAATAAATTCAACGTCAGCATATTTCAATCCTTATTGTCAGTAGCCTGAGCCATTGCAAAAATGTAATCAGCTCTGAATCATTCCCCAGCTAATGTAAAAAATGTGGTCTACTTTTATTGTTCTTAGTATTGGCCAATTGTTTTAAGTTTAATTAATTTTCCATTAATATCAAATTATTGTTTTTGGATGCTAGAGTAAGGTTATAATATGGCATAAATCGTATGTTATAAGCAAATTCAACATGTTGGCATAAAAGTGTAGGATGTTTCATCAGAATGGCATCCAGCATGATGATAACCTGGGTGAGATACTGTACAGTGCAATTTTCGATCTAAAAGTAAATTCAAATTGGTGATATCAGTGTTACAAAACAAAAATATACACAGAAACACTAGTACCAAAAAGACAATTAATTAACCGTTTTTGGAGTCCGTTTATGAAAATTTGGGCAGATTTGACAAAATCATGAGAATGCATGAAAATTCTGGAGACTCGCGATCATCATTAGCTTAGGCCAAGAGTTGGGATTTAGAAGCCTACGTATGCACAACTTTAGTACCAAGCCTACCACTGTGCTTGGTATTTCGCTTCAGGGAGGAATAATCATTTTAACAAATATTTGTCACAGCAGTTTCACAGCAACAGTTAAGTGCCCTTCATCGCTCAGGCACGTGTATTCGGGATGCATACGCATAATTAACCGAAACAGGAAAGTTAGGCCTACCCACAAATTAAAAAATACAAATAAATACAAGTTTTTTTCAGTGCCTTGTTTGCGATATGCATGCTTTGATACAAGATTACACACTTTTGGTGTCTTTTTTTATTTGGGAAAAATTTACTAAATTCCGGACACCAGCAGACTGCAACAAGAGGATTAAATCGGGAAAGTTTGAACATCTGAATGAAGTAAGCCTAGGCCTATGCCCCTATTCATTAAATTAAATTTGAAAAGCATGTTTTTCTAGGCCAGGCTATGCCTACATGAAATAAGCATTAAAATCGTGTTTTTCTTGGCAAAAAGTGTCGCTACTACATGTAGGCCTACTTAAACTGCCAGGCCTAGTGTATCACTGCAGCCAGCACCTCTGTGGCGGAACTGAGAGAGCACTCGGCAGTAGCAACGTAAACCATCCCTCATCAACTTCATAATGACATATCACTCCATCATGACCGTATTCAGATTGTAATGTTAGGGTTAGCCTTTATTATTGAATTCGAACCGTCAATAATATAGCATACATACTATTACATAATGTAGTGTGCATAGATAAAGGGCAAACAGCCAAATTATAATGAATTTACAAACAAGGAGGAGACCTAAAATGTTCATTCATTCATTATGATTCTATCAATATCACTAATGTTTTCAAGCCTATAATTATACCGGTATTCGGTTGTCATACAGCCATCGCGCGCTGTGTCCTCTGTGTTTGTTGTAGTTATTCGAATGTCAAAAAAAAAAAAATGTACATACGAACCTTCTATTTGTTGTCTAGATTTCTTCCACGTCTTGAGGTGACAATCTGCAGTAACCCTGCCAGTTATCGCCTGGTGGTGTCATTACCTTACCGCATAAAGGTCATAATTAGCAGTAGTATGGATTTTCTAGAAACGGCACAAATCCATGACCAATCTACGAACATTTTTCTTCGGCCATGAAGGAAAGTGCATGCCTGAAATCATAGGCTAAAAATAGAGTAAGCGAGGTCGAACGTCAGCCAATCAGACCTTAATCTGCCAACTGAGCTAACGTCATCATCCACCAATGAAAATACTTCTAACAGAGAATGGTGGTTTCCCCTACAGAGTGGCTCCCATACATAAAGTTTACAGTAACTTAAAACAATGTTTTGTTTTGGTTGAAAACCCCAAACATTTATTTGAAATATTGAACTGATAATTTAAAAGGATCCAATACGTTATCAATATACAATGAAACACGGTTCAGTTTCGCTGATATACTAGACTAAAAAATCCATGTTAAATAGAGGTAAATTTAAAAAGTAAATTAAACGACCTACTTGTTCCTTGGTGAGGAATTTCTTCTACTAATTATCAATTAAAAGCTAATAACGTTTGCCTACTGGAATTTACAAAACAATTTAAATACTGAATTGTATTCTGAAAAAAAATCTTTATAGCATGTATTTATACTCGCCGTACATAAGAAAACGCTTTATAAATGTGTATATATATGTGTATTATTATTTTTTAAATACCTCTTTTACGTGAAATGTGAAAAAATGCATATGTTAAAAATATTGATCACCATGTAAAGAAATTTGTGAATGGAATTTTGGAACAACAAAGGAATTTGCGAACAACACAAAATATTCAATGTGAGAGCATGAGGCAGTAATGATGTTTAATGTGTGTAAACTGTAGTATATTGTTTTGTTGTTTAAACATAAGGGTCATGGTGCGCGTATGTGTGTGCGACGGTTAATGCCTAGGTCTAGGCCTATCTTTAGACAATATAAATTGCATTTGCCCCAGTGTGCAAATAAAGAGAAAATTTAGAGACAAAAAGATAATATTTGAAGAACACTGTATTTAGTTAAGTAAATCCGGTCAGTTTTGAGTGAAGACAGTAACTTAAAGAAAACTTATTAGTCACGGCGCTGTAATATGCACGTGTTCCGTGTGAATTTAGGTGTTGACTCTTGCATTACTTGCATTTGCTCACATGACTTTGTTTGAAACGAGTTATTAAAGTCACTGCACATTTTTTAGTGATATAAATTAATGAATGTATAAACACTTAATTTGAAGTGAACCAACAAACTACTTCAAGATGTAACAATTCGTTCTGCTCGTGACTCTAAAGCATTGAAAGTATTTTCGTTCTCATCAATTTTGCTTTGTTTCAGTTCATTCAAGGCCTACGTACCAGTGTACCTGAACTGTGTAACTCGATTTCATTAATTTATTCTTGACTGTTATAGTTTTTTTTAAATTCCGAATTCATATTGTTTATTTTTGTTTTATTTTGCTGGTTTTATTGATTTTGTATTGTTTTGTGTTAAAAGTGCCCTTAGGCCTAAGGAAATAAGGCACCTAACACTGAAAGGTGACTTACTCTTACAGGATTACAGAGAGTAAGGTAATAACATACGTGCCCCTGTTCTAAGCCTGTTAACAAAAATTATCCTAAAATTGTTTGGGTCTGCCCGTTATATGTCACCAGGGAAGTACTATAAAGACCTCCCTGATGTCACTAAACGTGTATTCTGGTCACGTTCAAATAATTATGGGGACATCGTACCCTGCTTAATATGGAGGTCTACATTCGTGGGAATTGAGTAAACACCACAAGCATGTAAAACCACCGTAAAAATCACAAGAAAAACTTCTGCAAATAAACCACGACACATTACTCATACTATGCTTGCATCTTGAATTAAAATGGTGCCTGGTAGTAGCTGCGTTGAAGATACCACCGCAAGACCACCTTATTAACACAGATTCTATGACAGTCCCGGTTCTGAACCCCTATAAGAATGTCGCATTAAGCTCACGACAATGACACTGGAGTTAAAAACAGGCCAATTCTCGTGACTCAGTTGCTAGAAATTCTTTGGCCCGACGTCGTGGCGTCGACGGCACACCGGGATTGGACAAAGTTTTGTTTGATCTGTGAGTCAAATTAATAACTTTGGTCCAAGGTTCATCAAAGGTTGATATAAAACCTAGAAGCAACATGAAGAACTGTTTTATTTTTATCGAATATTATAAATTCAATAACTTCAAAACAATGAGAACATACACTTAACCATTGTTCCTCACTGTAAAGAAAGGTTTTTGGCCTCAAATTGACGTGAAAACGCAACTTCTTAGCGTGAGCAATTTACTCAAAGTTCAGAATTATACGGAGGTGGGGGGAAGGGACTAGCCTGCTTCCATCTGTTATATGTGAATAACTCTTTAAAAACAATTAAAATATGAAATAGAATTTTTTTGTGAAATTCCCTAATACATAATAGAATAGGTCTATTTTTGCACTGATTCTAAAACATTTTTATACTAGGTACCGTAGGCTATAACAAAGGCCCTATTCAAAGATTACACAAACTGTATGTTATTTTATTCATTTTTGGAAGCTAAACTAGATAGGCCTTTACGGCTACATGGTCACCAATCCAAATATTGATTATTTTAAAGATTGGTCGCTTAAGAGTATAAAATATTCAATACAACATTTTACACAGTCTAACAATAATGAGATAAATATTAGACGAACTAAAACTTATGAGAAGAGATTATGAATAAACCTTGAGCTGGTAGCTTCATGGTAAGATGTTTGCATTTAGTCGTAAAATCTATGAATGTAGAATGTTCAAAGATATGTGTCTGCGGGTGCACGTTTGTGCTTATATTAGTGGCTTACTTTCTCTTTGTCCAATCTACTCAGGATCTGTCTCTTATACACATCTAGATGTGTATAAGAGACAGATATTACTTATCGTTTGTAAATGAGTGGTTCAAATATTTAGTTTTGGGAGGTGTAACTGAAACCTTTTATGCAGTTGTGTTTTTCGGTTGATAATCGTTTTGGTACTCTTCCAACAGGACGCAAAGTTGAATCAGGGAGGTATAAACATAATTCCACGAACTTCGGTGGATGCGATAAAGATTCTAGAGAGAAGCATAACCCGGATGTATTTAAAGTCTTCTAGAATTTCATAAATCAATTACTTTTATCCTTGAATCGTACCCATGGTGACATGGTACTTCTTCTTACCACATAGCTCATTTATTTTTAGTAACTTAACGGGACCGTTTTTCGAATCCTTTACTTGTTGATAATATGATAATAATGAGAACTTGCTTGTCTCTTGTTATGATCAATTTTGTCACTGGATTATATAATCCTTGTTAATTTAGAAATTCGGTTCTGGATTGTGGTAGGATTGATATCACATTTATGATTTATGACTAACTTTAATGCTATGGTATAAAATCGTTTTTTATTTGCTTTATGTATAATACATATATACATATTTATATATATATATATTTATATATATATATATATATATCCTATATATAGCCTATATATATACCGGTACCGTATATATATTATATAGGCCTATATATATATTTATTATTATAATATATATACTTATATATATATATATAGTTATTATTATTATTATTGTTATTATTATTATCATTATTATTATTACACTGATGGCCATGGATGTTTAAGTTAAGGGCTAATAAACATGACCTCAATTAACCTTTCCGGAGTGTCAAAGTTAATAACAGACCAATCAGAACAGGCCCAGATATACGCGTTTTTCACACACACACACACACTCACCCCCCCCCCCACACACACACGTATTGTCAGAAAAACGTTTACATACTTTACGTTTACACTATCATTCGTGAGCAACAAAGGGGCGGGGCTTAGCGAATCGGTCCACTGAATCATTTGCTAACATCTCTTTGCACATGCTCTTCTGCATGTTCGTAAATCAAATGTATAAAAGGATTAAATGCTACAAGGTTCTAAAGAAACATATTCTGAATCATTTGAGAAATACTTTATAATGGAGTTTATTCACAAGACTTATTGCTACCGGTAATAAAAACCACGTTGTGAAGGAAGGAAAATCAAAAATGCAAGCAGGACGAATACTCTTTGAATGAGAAAGAAAATAGAGAAGACAAATACCGGAAAAGATCAAAATCATCTCATCCATTTTAGAAGACAGTGTCAGGTTCTATGATCTCCAGGAAAGCAAGGGAAATTCCCGGTTTCCTACAATGAGATTTTCTGAGTTGCTTCCGCCTATTAAATAACTCATTGAAAGAAAGGAAATGTCAGTGAAATACACTTGACAATTCTAAATGACCAACTTTAGGCCTAGGAAAATTATTGCTACATTTTTTATGTAAATCACAACATGAGTTTTGTTCTTCCTGTTGCTTATTTTTATTATTTTTTTATTTTTTTATTTTATTTTATTTATTTATTTATTTTTTTTTTGTATTTTGTTTAGGCTCATGCATTTTCTTATTAATCACGCTCCATCATGATTTTCTTAACCTATATTGTTCTAGTAAAATATTGGCAAAAGTCTGTGGCTTATTAAAATCGGTAATTTCCAAAGTAGAAATGAATAGCATTGATGATAAAATTATACTTACAGTGTGAAACTCTATACGGTGATGATTAAGTGAGAAACTTTCATGAACGTTGGGGGCGCAAGTTCAGTTATAGAAGTTTCCGTACAAAACCATGGCGGAATACTATTAGGGTAAACACAATCATCTTGGACGGCGTACTAAAACTAAAAGAATAGTAATTTGTTTAGTAAACAGTTCTTAAGTTATATCTGCGTTATAGTAAGCCATCATGGAAGTATACCACCATGGTGTAGCATATCGTAACGTCCAAACGAGCGTAAATCAGTAAGGCGCAGCCATGATGGCTTGTTCAGGATGATTACATTTTAAGCATGCATGAAATCTCCATTTCGGCTTTTCAGAAGTGTGTCGTGTATACGTAGTCTGCCACTTTATTAGTCGTAAAATCTATGAATGTAGAATGTTCAAAGATATGTGTCTGCGGGTGCACGTTTGTGCTTATATTAGTGGCTTACTTTCTCTTTGTCCAATCTACTCAGGATGGTCTATATTGGTGATTATTCTTTAGTTTCAGATTATGACATTAACACGTTGC